AATTTTTGAATGTTTCCAATATTCGTCTGCCTTGGCTGAAATATATTATTGGCCATTTTGCCATTTACATTCACTATGTTCCCAGAATTCAACAATGATGTTAGAAAAATATGAATAATGGTCTCGCGCCAGAAGACAAAGTTTGTTCTTACCCACTACATACATCTCAAACTACATGGCTTGCCTTTATTGGAGTCAGTCTGAGATCATTCCGCAATTTTTAGTTTCTTCATGTAAAACACATCATCTAGGTACGCACCATATCCTTTGGGAACAAATTGAATAGCATCTTTCCATCACATTCTGCCCCGGTCCTTATTACGGCCTATAAGGACAATACACCGCAGCCACAGCTAAATAATCTCTACGGGCACATGATCTGGTATGATGAACATTACATCTTTGATCAGACCGTTCTCGTCAGATAATCACTGTATCGAACCATGGTTATTCACTCATCCTTTACCATTGAGCGCGGACGAGTCCACAATATCATCAAGCTCTGTCCTTGCTTTTTGTCTCTTATTTTTTTGTTGTCTTCAGGCGAATGGCTCTTCCAACTGCTGGATTTTTGCTCGAAGTCAAGAATTCTGAACTGTACCTGTTCGTAATGGATATTGTACGAAGAATTTTTTGAATTTCATGTGACAGATGTCGCAAAAAAGTTTTATTTAAAGGAGGTAGTTTTCCAAATCGAGATCAAGTTGACTTAAACGATTGAGAAAAACTAATATTGAATATCGCCAATTGGCAGTTCGTCCACGATGATGACGGATCGTGGAAGATACAATATGACAAATATGCGAAGAAAAAGAAGCGGAAGTCCCAAAACAACTCCGACACCTGACTCTTTCAGCGATGGGGCCCCTTTGCGCTTTGTTTGTAAATCTTTTCCAAGGATACATCGTCTTGCACTCAAGCCGATAAGCATCCGTCTGCCTCATGGGGGACCTACATGTTCAATCAAACACCACCAAGCTTTCACGGGAAGACTTTGCGGACTACCATAATCCCTCACTCAAGCGAAACCTATCTTGTCCCAATTGCAACACCGAAACCAAGGATATGCATCAAGACACAAGGAGACGAATTTGTCCGGATGGACAACATAATACATATTGTTGTGGAGAACGCACGATACTTTGTTTTAGTTGGACAAAATCGGGAGGAGGAAAGATACTATCAGATTGAGCCCGATATGTATCATATTAGTTTGTGTGGGGCCGATTACTTCACATGGCGGATCTGCTCCGACAATGAGGTCAAAGACGATCTGGAAAAGATCAGGGTGCAAAAATCGACACATTACTTCTTGATGCTGCCTCTACTAGATGACATATCTCCAATGGCGAACAACAAGTCGGTTGGTTGTGTGGGCGAGGGTCAATCTTATTATCTGGTGTCTTCCGAATGGAAAGAAGTTTCAAGAGGAAAAACTGACGACATCCCGGTAATGTTAGGCTTGCCCCGTATGGAAAGTGCTTTGTACAAGACATGATTGAAATGTTCCTTCGTAACTTTGTTTTTAAACTGTAAGACAATTATTGAACATTGAGGTTATGTATTAGTTATAATAAGTCTATCATATGATGGGTGCATGGGTGTACGGTAACTGCGTTATAAGTTATTATTGGCCCGATAATGGTACGGACACGACTCACCCGCCACCTGGTGTACTGTAATCCATTAGTTTGGTTTGTTTTCTTCGCCTACCACTTTTGGCCATCATGGTTTGTTGGCACTTGCCGCATAACCAAACCGCAGACTTGATTCTGGTAGAATCCTCCTCGAGGGCGAGGTAGCATTGCTGACATGTGTGTAGAGACAGGCTTGTCTTGAGGACCTGACCAAAACCGCACTTACAACCTTGGCAAACCGATATTTCAACAAATTTGGAGAATGTCACATTACCAGAATACCTTCCAAGATCGCCTGATGCATAACACATCAAATCAGAAACCTTTGTTTGATGGTCGCTGCAAAGATGGTCGGCTTGATCTTGAACCGGAGCAGGGTCTTCTGCGTGGTCTCTTGATTGCTTTGGGTCATCTGCATTCTTCGACATAGCTGTTTCCAGTGGTTTCTTTTGTTGGCCCTTAGTGATTTTCTTCTTTTGGCTCTTTGTTTTGGGTGCATTTGCTGTTGTAACCAACGAATTCTGTTGAGTAACTCCATGTGCAACGATGGCTTCGATGTCCTTTCTTGTTGTGTTATTGTATGTCAAATTTGCTACTTGCCTCTCAAAGAGTTGCTTTGGATTGCGCTCTTGTGATGCAGCCAATTCAGATTTTTGGAGGTCTTTGGTTTCAAACGGACCGTTTAAAATATTAGTGTCATCGTCATCGCTGTAGAAGATTTCACCTAATGTGGCAACCATGGGGGTGTTTTTTGGTTCAGTAGGTATGCCGTCTTGAGAGGCAAAGAAATGATCAGATACAAGTGTGCCGAAACCTACAAGATCGTCTCCGGATATTTCATTGAAGTTCGATTTGTTGTAAGGAGGTGAGGTTTTAAGGTAGTTGACAGCTGAATTGGGTGTGAAGGCTTGATTGTGGGTTGGTGGGATGTTGGTAAGGAAGGTATTATTTGTTTGCCAAGGGATGCTGGCTCTAGTTGTAGTTGGAGCAAGTGGTGTACTATATGATGGAGTCGACAGTCAATGAGAGACTTGAAAAGATACTTTGGGTTGCAAAAGGAACTTTTATGTGATTGTGGTGACTTCTTTGTGTTCTTTCCTGTTTTGCCCAGAACTTTACGCTTTACTTGCGTAAGCTGGTCTCCAATCTGTTTGATGATGCAACTTTTACCCGATGTGATGAACACGAGATTGGCAGCTTCGCTTAAAGTTTTAGCAAGGGCGTCACGGTTGTGCTTCGCACCTCTCATACCTTTGGCAGGCCATAGGGGGTATTGGAAAAGGTGCTCAATGGCTTCTCTCACCGCTGAGCCATGCTCTTTGGATGTCGCCATTATCCTTAAGTCGTCTAGAGAGGATGTTTGTAGTGGATTTCCCAGATCATCTTTCAGGTTCAAAATGTTGAACTCCAAGACAAGCACCGATTTGACCTTCAATTCAATTTCGCGGGCGAGCTTCGCACGGAATTTCTCCAGATGTATTTTCAGGGCCACGACCTCCTTGTCTTCAATCATATTGTTAGGATAGTTGGAGTTATTCCTTAGAATCTGTCTTGCCTGGTAGTGGACTGGGTCTGCTTTGAATTCTGCTGCGGCAGCTGGGTCCTCCGACTTCAATTTTGTAGCAACTGCCGTTCTATCATCGCTGTTATGGTAGAGATCACCTGGTACGTGGGCTTTCAGATTCTTCTTCTCCTCTGGGGACATCCTATCCACATGGGGTCGCGGTAGCTGAGAATTGTGGAACAGGTACTGTTCCACAAGAGGAGTCGAGATTAACCCATTCAGACATGTGAATTCGGCTGTGTTCTTCTTGTTGACGCTACTATCAAGAATGCTTGCGCATTCACCACCAGGCAATTGAGATGCCGACATTACTGCGGGGGCAATTCTCTGGCTGAGGAATCTTTACAGGGTTCGAAAAAAGAAACATTGAGATGGGATGGTTGTTGTATTATTGCGCAAACGCGGGTGTGATCCAAGGATATGATGCAGTATTTAAGCGCATGATGAGATGCTCAACGGACAAAAGGAATCAGCTCGTAAAATTCTCTAACCACTTTCAGTTCATCATGACGATCGTGTTGTATGGCATATAATATTCGATTTGTATAAAGGTATATGCCTGCTCAAGATTTGAAGCTACCATTGAACGCAGGGGAAAGGGAGTTTTTACGGGATTGCTCAACAAACAACGAATTTTCTTGGTGCTACAGGAGTTTTTACCGGACAAATTGCTGATACAGGATCAAAGGAGAATATACTGGAAAAAACGGATGGGAGTACATACCATTCCCGTAAATCTTCCAGAAACCCCATAACTTTTGTCCGCAGTGTTGGCACGACACAATTGGCCTTTTATGGTGCACACTATTTGTCACTTTGCGCAATGAAAGTTGAGGAACAGTTGTGCAAAAAGCTCACGATGTAGAAGCAGATGAAGGAACCTGTCTCTGAGGAGTGTGGAATGCCACTAGCCTACTACAGATGTGAAGAAACGGAAGCGTTCGATTTGTTGACTGGGTTGAGACCACAAAGAGGCAGGGGGTTCAAAGCATCAGTTTGCTCATGTAGTTGATGTTTTGGTGGAAAAAATGTTTTTATGTCTTTGCTGTTGTGTTTTTGTGTTTCTGCGAGGAAGCGGGCATGTTCACCATTGGTCGTTACAGTCGATAGCACGTGCTTGCGATAAATTTGGAATTAATTTTTATATTGGAATTTGGAATTTTGTTCAAGGCCCAATTGCTCCTTCCACTTCTCCAGCGACCTGTTGGAGGTGGAGG